TCGACCCTTTCTCATTTGAACCCGTTGTCATTTGAACACCGTAGTGAGGTATAGAAAAAAGGAAAAACAGTCGAAGGATGAAGGTTGAAAATGAAGCGAAGCGGCACCATCTCTTGCATAGCACATGAAACAATTTTCCTTATGCCTGCGTGCCACCTCGAGACTGTTGACGTAGCTACGTGGTCACAGGGTGACGTGGTTTCAAAAGTGCTAGCGCAGATTCGGTACTTCATTTCTCTTCTGTCGCTGTATGTCGTTAAGATGTCGTCGTGTGGAGCGGATGGATCATTGTGCTAGTCGTGTGTTATTGCTTGTAATGGCCAATTCGGGTGGTCATTTTCCCAGAAAAAAAAGTTTTCCCATATCTTCGGCAAGAGCGTTCGCGTGGTCAAAGGCTGGCGGGTGCAAGCTTTTCGGGTTGCGCTTCTCAGGCATGTACCGGCAATTTACCAGCAGAAGTTTTCCCGAGCTCCAAGAGGTCGGGCGGCTTGTCTGCCAGACTGTATCCGGTATCGTCACATCCGAATCGGGATAGGGAACCAAACGAAACAATGCTCGCTGAGGCGGCAAATAGCGGGTTCGAGTGGCAAACGAAGCCATCGAGACAGGCACCCTTTTGTGCTTTGAGACAATATAGCAAAAGCAACGAAGAGAAAGATAATTTATGTTTCAAAGAAAGTCAACATTTTTGGAAGAATTTATCCAGCCTGAGCAAGGTATGTTTGCTCTGAGACACGGGCTGCATCATACATCACTTTATTTTATAACTCTGTAATGACAAGTTATTACACCGCTGAAAAAAAAGTATGCATAGTGATGCAGTTTGAAACTTGAACACGCATTACAATTTCAAGGAGGGTGGGTGCAATGAGAAGACTGAGCTAGGATTCCAAAAAAGGTACTAACAGTAAACAGAGTATGGAAAGCGACGCTGGCAAGCCTCCGTGGCAACAGTTAATCGAAAATCCAAACGAAGTTTATTGAAATTTGACGCGCGTGCGGGCAGCACCACACTGATTTATACATCTGCCCTTTCATTGATTTTATATTTTAATATTCTGTCAGCTGTACAGACTGTGGTAATGCCAATATTTTGAAAAGTTTTGTGAAGCCGCTTCTGTTTACACACATCTCAAAGAGTCGTAATTTATGTTGTTGGCGTATGCAGCGTGCTCATGGTACCATAGAATGATCGAAGAAGAAGTTAACAGAGCTCACTCGCGACTCAGTCAAATAAAAACGCCAGTTCATTGTGCTCTGCATTCGGGTGGAGAGGGTCACGGGATGCGCCGCTGGCGCGTTTTTGGTCGCCGGTGCCACAGGCAAGGGCTCGAAGGCAATTAATTACCCGAATTCGCCATAAATACCGCAGAAAGATTGCGAAATCATGATGCTGGATTAATTTGGGTTCGAAATGAGAGAGGTTAAAATGAAAATAGTCTTTCTGACAATGGTCAAAACCAGAAAGTATGTTTTGAGAAACTTTGAAATGAGAAAGGTTAAAATGAGAAAAGTCGTTTTGAGAAGGGTCAAAACCTGAAAGTTTGTTTTGAGAACGGTTTAAATGAGAAAGGGAAAAACGCGAAAGTTGTTTTGCGCTGGGTTGAAATGAGAAGGTAAAAACGAGAAGGTACAAATGCTAACGGGTTCAAATGAGAACCACCCGAGCGGACGTCTTCTCGAAGTCGGTCCTGTTTTACGAGTGCTCCCAGACGTGCGGTTGGTGCTTGCGTTCCAGGTCTGTCTGCTTTTGGTGTTGATCGCGCTGGAGGCACTGTCGCTTCGCATCTAGCCGGCCCTCTCCATGTGTCTATGAGCAGACAGATCTCCTCGTGGTGCTTCGTCTGCTGGTTCTCTCGCTCGACGGCGACTGCCTTGTTCAGCGCTGCCGTGGCTGCGCCTCGAGGCATGCTTTCAAGCATGTGGTCCCTGAGCTTCACGCCCTCCTGCCAGAGTGTTTACCGCCCCTGTGCGTGCAGGCATTGACCTCCTCCATGTGCTGGTGGAACCTGTGCACGCCTGTCTCTGCCTCGTGCTTCAGATCCTGGAGTTCCTGTTCCCTCTCCCCTATAGAATTTCGTATACCACCTCAAAGTCGTCTGCCAGGTTTGCCTGGGCTGCGTTTAGGCTCCGAATACGTTTTTCGGATATCTTGCACGTGGCCCAAAAGTCCTCCAGTTCCGTGGTCGTCTCCCTGGCTTCCTCGCGGAGCTGGTCCACTTTGGAGAGGGCGTCCTCCAGCCTGGCTATCGTTTTCTTTACGCCCATGTGTCCCGCTGCCGTCGAATCGAGGGCCAACCTCGAGGAAGTCGGTCAGCTGGCCACCGGTAGTGCCAGAACCAGGACCGCAACCTTCGTCCTCTTCGATACCATCGAACGCGCCTCGTTTCTCCAATCGGCTGCTATTTTCAGTTCCATGCCTAGTGTTTTATGACAAGGCGTATATAAACTCTCACGAGCTGTGCATAATTTAGCCAATAAAAAGCGCTCATAGACCACACTTCTTTCTTCTATTGACTACAAAGTGCACTGTGCCAATATAGAATGGCTGGAAATTATCTGCTTTGCACATTAACAACAAAATTCTGCGACGCAATGTCTCGCATACTATCCAGACAACGTATCAGAGAGCGACTTTCGAGCCGCTCTCTGATATGCGTACGCAAGTCGAATGCACGTCGAAAAACACGCTGTGGTTTCTAACTGGTTCATGATCGGAACTGGCGTCCCGTAGTTTTTTTATTGTTGGGTAAGACAAAGTCTACAACTCATTTCTACTACGCTGCCGTTTTTATCGGAGTGCCGTGACAAATCAGGAAACGAGAATGCAGCCTAAAGTTCTATATCAGCTGAGCGTTGCATTTTCGTCTGGTTTTCATGTCCTACATTTTATTTTATGAGTTGTCGTATTTGTTAAAACTTCATTACGACAAAAACGAAAGAAAGACAGCTTTGAGAATATTTTATTTTTTGAATGCCACCAATTAGTGGGCTGTTCAGATTTAAAAACGTAGAATTAATGACAAACTTTTTTTTTTTTTCGCACACAAATGAATATTTTGGTTTTTTTCATTCACGATATTGAGAAACTTAACCACATGTTTGAAAATGTTTGTGATTGCAATAATCGCCGGTAGCGTTTAAATAAATCCAATATATTACAGCGTAGAACAATTTGCCTGGCATTACTGGCTCATGATGAAGCAGTCACTTCAGTATTACTTTACCGCTTTGACCGTTGTGCGAAATGTTTTATTTTTATTCCAAGCCAAGTAGCGGCGCGTGGTTTATTCCTACCCATCCACCCCAACAAAAGGTGTAGAACACAAATCGTCTCAAAGTTTGGAAAGATAATCAGACGCCTGCGAATCCCAAAGCTTAAATTGGAAACATGGCCAATTCAAAAGCGCAAACTCGTCCCAAACTTTAAATAATTGTGTTAGGGGTAATGGTTGAAAAGTTTGAGAACAAAATAAGTTTTGGTAATTCCATCGTTCCTCTTCGGTACTCTGGCAATACGATGTGTTATGAAAATATATCTTTGATGCTCTTAAACGGCGTATGCTTGGCAATACCTCTTTTAATAAAGCTAGCGAACGATAATTAACTCCTCGACTCGTTTGTATTAATGCATTTTTAGCTACGGCTCGAATTTTCCAATTCCATTCTCCGTAAGCATTGCAAACTTGTAGGCAAAATGTATATCCTAGAGTGGAAAGGTTACTGGGCTTCCATATTTTGGAATTATTTTTTACCAAAAAGCAGCGCGGGCTATTTCCGTAATTAGGGTGGACATTTGGACGAGTTGGTTGGAGTTCATAGTGAAAATAGCAGGAGGGCGAGGACAAATAGAGATACACTCAGCAAGCGCTGCTTGTCCAGCGTAGGGAGCCTTCATGTGCGCCCTAGTCCAGTGTGCCTCTCTTCTGCGTCCCAGTCCAGTCGCCCTGTTTTTTTTTTTTTTTTTTTTTCACTATGAACTCCAACCAACCAACTTCTACTTTTATATCAACTCCTATATATACATATGAACTTATACTTATATATGTGCTTACAGTTATATAGGAACTCTGACTTATACTCTGGGTTTCCCTTTTGTCGGGGTACCACATAGTACTAGACGATGTTTCTGGGTTTGTAGAATCACCTGCTTATTGACGAATACGCTAGCACGTTTGACCGTCGGCCAACAAAGAAAAGAAACTAAAAGCCTAAGGGCGGTGCTGCCTTACTAGGCAAATTCACCTGGAGGGGCCCACGCTGCCATACTATGCAGAATCATGGGAGAGGGGAAGCTGCCAAAAGAAAGTAGAGACTCCGAGAACAAGACCTTTCCCAGTGAGAGTCTCCCCGGCTACCCCCGCCCCCCCCCCCCCCCCCCCCCCCCCCCGTTTCTCTCTTTTGGGGGTTTGGGGCAGGCTTATAAAGCCTGCGGGAAATGGACGCGCCCAAAGGTAGATGGTGTGGCTTAGCCCAGGGATGGGTCGCGTCCACAATCCCTCCAAAGGGTGTGCCAGCGGCAGATTAACCCAGAAGGGCGAGAGATGCACCGCCCTCTTCGAGGAATGCGGCCTCGCCTCGTGTCCGCAAAGCCGCCGCCGTGGCGGTCCCCACTGCCTGCATGTGCTCGGCCTAGGAACTCGTGTTACCACAATAATTTTACCAGACTTGGACGTAGTTTAACTACTCTACTCAAACTACGGTAGTTTAACTACTTTTCCGAGTAACTTGGTAACTTTAAATTATAAATTTATTTGGGTAATTAGTAGTTTAATTTAACTACGTTTCTCAGGTAACTTCTACTCAAATTACTAATTACTTTCGGAATATAATCATATTTTTTTCATCAGAAAAGTTTGAGTGCAGAAATGAATGAGACGCTGGCACTTTAACCCTTTATAAGGCGCGAGCAGACTTTTATTAGTTCACTTATTTTTATATCAAAAATGCTTTATTAAACAAGAAAGAGAATGTTTAAACTAATTTACATAGTTGTGCAACAAAATTTGGAGGCACAGTTGGTGGGACAACATATGTCCCACTACCCTCTGAGCACCACAAACAAAAGTGGGACAGCCTATGTCCCATTGCCCATGAGGGACATTGACAAAAAATAACGAGTGCCCTCTATTTGCGTTCACTTGGGCAAGTGAAAGGAGGAGAAGCACCCAACACACAAAGGAACGTCGCAGCTGCTGCACACATATCTTGTGCGGGCTTCCTTGCTCTTCGTAGAGCACCACCGACACCTTCTCCTCTTTGCATTCTCTTGGGGAAAGTGGTCTCTTCCTTCAAGACGAATTTCGCTCGGCACTCCAGTAATCAGAGACCCACGGCGGCGTCCCTGTTTTCTCTGGAAATGCACTTGCGACTTTCTAGCAGTGCGAAAAGTATGTCTCTTGATCAGTTGTCGCCCGAGAAGCACCTTGAAGTGAAGCAAAGCCACATCGTCGTCACTGTGATATGCCTTGTGTTGCACAAAGGCATTGACGATTGCTGCATCGACAAGAAAGTAAAAAATACGATGCCACCACTTCTTGGACCGTCGATCAACCGGATAGGCATTGCGCTTTTGGTCGAAACAGTCTACGCCCCCCATCCAGCGGTTGTAGTCCTTGACGGACATCGGGCATGTAACTTGAACTTTTTTTCCGCAGGGAAGCTTCCTTTCCATCGAAGCTTGCTCTTCAGGGTCATGAAAATTCGACATCATGTGAACATTTTTTGTGTCTCGCCATTGGTAAGCCGACACTGGCCCTTTTGATCGGTAGAGGTACTCTCCACGAGAAAGCTTGTTGTCAATTTTGACTTCTGGGGGCAGGTCTCGTTTGTTGGTCCTGAATGTGCCACAGGCAAACACTCCTCGTTCTCGAATTTGCAGGAGCAGTTTGGTTGAAGAAAAAAAATTGTCAAAAAAAACTTGGGATCCTTCCTCCACTATATCCTCCGTCAGCGAAAGGACGACGTGTTCCCCAAGAGTCTGATCAGTGGGCCTTTCTCCGTTGCGTCCTTGATATACTTCGAATCGGCAGAGATAACCAGTCTCACTGTCGGCGAGGCTCCAGACTTTGTACCCCCGCTTGATTTTCGGTTTCATCGGCATGTATTGTTTCATTGCCGATCGACCCTTGAAAAGAATCATCGACTCATCAACCGCGACATGAGAGGACGGGCTGTATTCTTTTCGGAAATTCTTGTTGAGGGCTTCGATAAGAGGTCGCACTTTATAGCACCTGTCATATCCTGGCGAGGTCCGCTCTGGTTGCTGCGTGTTGTCATTCAGGTGTAAACAGCTTGTGATTTGTTGATACCGCTTGAAGGTCATCACTCGAGAGATTTCCTTCACATTGAAGAGCTGATCTGAGCTCCAGTACAGGTAGACTTGGGGCAAGGGATGAATACTCATAAGAATGAGCATGCCTATGTAGGCTTTGAGCTCACTCACTGAGAGTGGCTCCCAGTTCGCTTTTCCTACCTGATCAGCGTACCGGTTTGTCTCTGTGACAATGATTGTCCAGACTTCTTCATCAAAATAAAGAGTAAACGCGTCAAATGCACTGCTATCTGCGCTTAGGTTAGGAGAGCATGTTGGAGGTTTTTCAGTGACCTTTTCAGGAATGTCTTGAGGTTTTCCAGCTATCCAGTCCATGGACGGTGATGGTATCCCATTCACTTCGCCGTTCTGACTAGCATCTGCTTCAGGCTGGACAGGCGTCTTCTTGCTACGTCTTTTTCGCTTGTACGTCTTTTTTGGCCTCTTCGGTGCTTGTTCGTTCGTATCATCGCTCTCTGATGACTCTGCTGGAGCCAAAGCTGATGTTGAGGGCATTTGAAAATCGTCATCCGAGTCGCCGGACGCGTCACTCGCCGAGTCGTCCGGAAGGCTAAAGAACAGTTCTAAAGCCTCCTCGTCAGTGAGTTTTCTTTTTCCTGGAAAGGGAAAGCACTAATATATTTTCTGACATTAAATAAAAGCTATGGCAGCTATTGAAAACAAAAAATCGCAACTGCAAGAATGACGAACCCCCTAAGAACATTGGCTGTGTTGCTAAGCCTAACCAATTCACACCTGCTTGTACATCATGAACAATATAAACCCATGTGCCATCTAAAACGGGCTAATACTACCCTCACCTACTCCTTACATGCTTAGGAAGACGTAGAACGTACAGGGCAACTTACTTGACATTTTGGGACCAAGTAGTGTCTTCTGAAAAATGAGCCCCTGCGGATCCGTGCTTCGAAAACCGATGGCCAAAGCAAGCACATGTTTTCAACCTTCGGCCCTCTCGTGAAAGAAAAGAGAACTAAGGAAAAGTTTCATTTGACATTCATAGGTGGCGCTAGAGGAAAAAATGGGACGCCAGTGTCCCACGATCCCGAAGAGACTCGACTGAACCACTTCTCACAGGTGGGACATATGTGTCCCACTGTCTCACAAAGGGTTAAGTGGTATTCACAAACAAGGGTCCCCCTCACATTCTGTTCCCACGCACTTACACTCGGCAGCCCTAGAAACTGCATCACAGGCGTCCTTGGGCCAAGGTGGCGACGAGCAGCCAAAACTTAACACCGGCGCGCGAACGTAGGCAGAGATGCTTAACAAGCCTTGGTCGGGTGTTGACCTAATCCGGTAATGCACGCAAGCGTCGCGCCTCCAGCTGCAACCGTGAAAGACGGGGACACTCCGAGGGTTGTTGTTGTTTTCATGTTGTGTGCCTTTAGTGAGTTCTGACTCAAGTGGTAGGATCCACGGTAGGCGCCACTGCAATGACCTCGCAGCTGGGCGCCTGTTCCCATGGTCGCCTCGTCGTCAGCGCATACTCCCTTGCAAAGCCGGACTCCCCCGCGCACAAACGCAGACAAGGATAATCCGTTCATGGGAGCACGTTCCCGCTTCCAGCTGCAACTGTACGAGCGCCGATGCTTGTTCACGTAATCCTTCGCGTCCTTCCGACCTTCCACGCCAGGGAGACCTCCTCTTTGTTGAAAACGTTTTACTTGTCAGGCGGGTCAGGATACCGTAGTCGCCGGCGAGGATTTTTAGTCACCCTTGGGAGATCCTTTTGTTTGACCTAACGTCAACGGCGAAAAGAAATCTTTTTTTTAGTGGCGCAGCTATAACACTGTAGCGAGACGCGCAGTCGTCCGGAGGATCTCATCGTCGTGGCGCGAGACTTCAACCTTTGACGGTCAGGTGCACTCGCTTGGCGAAATCTCCGAACGTCGTGAGATTAAAGAGGGGCCAGTCATAACAATCTCAACTTGCCGAAGAAAGGAGAAGAAAAGAAGAGAGCTTGTTATAAAAGACCCTCTAGCCGAGGCAAGCTTCACATGTTTCGTTACGGAAACCAAGAGATGCCGACACTCGCTTACCCGACCCTGCACAGCCTGCTTCTGAAATTGAACGCTGTCTTTGCATCCAGCGCCACGGTGGAACGTCTTTTTAGCTTGACCGAGGACGTCATTAGAAGGAGAAGAGGAAAACTCTCCGATAATAACTTTGAAAGACAATTGCTTCGGCGAGCGAATAAACTATCTTGGAAGTCATAAAATGACTGCATTTATTTCCGGCTTGCAGGGGTTTTAACAGATCAAAACTTCTGTTCATTTTGCTGCCACAAAAACATAAAAAGTAACTTCGAAGGTAACTTCAAAGTAATTCGCTACTTTTTTACAGTAGTTAGTAGTTTACTCAATTACTATTACCGTTGCGTAATTTCTACTCTACTCCAACTACTTTTGGCGTCGATACTCAGTAACTTAACTTAACTACTTTTTTTGAGTAATTTGTACATGTCTGAATTTTACTTATATATGTACTTATAGTTGTATATGTACTCGTACTTATAGTAATATAGGAACTTCAACTTATAGTTATATATGCTTATACTTAGATATATATACTTAGATGTAATCTATAAGTATATATATAAGTATCACTATATATAGTGCCCCTATACTTATATATTAATTTTTACCAACTCCGACATAGCAAGACAGCGCTTGACCTAACTGGACAAGCTTGTTTAGTGTATCTCTCTGCTTTGTCCTGATCCCAGTCGCGCTGTTTTTCACTATGAAATCCTGTAACGAATTAAGAACGCTTTATCGATCCAACTGGGAATCGATTTATGAATGGCATAATTGAAGTAATTGATTGCAGCAGACACTCATTGATGCGACACGCTCCAAAGCAGCTACTTTTTTTTTTTATCTGGAGCGTTTATTTATTTTTTTTTTTTTTGCAAAGCAGTTTGGAGGGCTAACCGCTGAATTTTCCGGTGGAAGTTCGGCGAATGACCAGGCTGTGTGAAGACATATGTGACATTGGACACAACAATTTACCCCGAGCCACACCCCAGACTGGGTTTCTAGGCCATACTATCAGCCTCGTCGTTCGCCCTGCACCCTCCGCACGTGTTAATCATTCCCAAGTGCTCTGAGTTTGTGAGCAGAAGTTAAACGCTTTCTTATGGCGCGTTCACACTGGATATGGATCCGCAAACGCGAAGCGGATCCGCGCTTTCTCAACCGCAAAGCGGCTGCATTATCGAGCGGTTGGAGGGCGTTTTTGACAACCGCTTCGGGACCGATTTGCCCCAAACCACTTTCGCGATGCGCGAAACGGCAACCAATCGCAACGCGACGTTGATGTGACGTCAGTGCTTTTCGAAATAAGATGTCACCTGCCGCTGGTGAGGCGTCCAAGGCGCTGTAGTCCTAGCGTTACAGCAGACAGATCAACGGAGCAACGATCGGAGAAACGTGATATTCGCGTCCGTCACTTGAATCCGCCGCGAAAAAAATTGACTCGTAATCTTAACGGGGTTCGCACCGGTGATTCGGTTCGGGTAAGAGTTTGTTTATTATTCCGGGTGCCACAGCCCGAAGCTCGCTGCCTTGTTAGTCTCTGCTCGTAGAACGTCGGAACCCGCCCCTGATCGACCGAAATGTCAGCGTTTGTACCCACAAGACAGTCGCGTGAACTACTGAAAGCTTTCGGCACCGTGCATGACCACCATGAAAGCCGATAGAGACGCCCTGAGCCTAATTCCGTAGCCAGCGCACTACCACGGGATGAGCAGGGTACCTGCGCTAGCTCGATTTGTAACGTTTACTGCTACCGAAAGAAATAAAGGGAGCATACTCAAGAAATAAAGTATACGTACCAGACGACGCAGAGGCGATTCATACGGTGTTCATTTGAGCTTAATGCCAAACAAACAGTAAACTCGATCAACGTGCCAGTGGCGAGAGGGAAGTCCGCCACCAACGAAGCCACGACCGGCTAGCACCGAACACATTCCACCACACCACGGTCCAACCAACCGCTCACAACTTCGAAAATGATAAGAGCGAACAACGAGGGGGGAAAACTGGCCCTCTATCCCGAAAACAAGGTCAGCATATTCATGCGGGAAGGGTCCACTTCGAAGAAAAGGTCGGGGGCATCCTCTTGCGAGTCAGCAAGGCGCGGCTAACTGGGCTTTGCTTGTGGGCGAAGTCGAGGCAATCGCAGGCAAGTTTCGCGGGTCCCTGTCTCTTTTTACGCTGCCTGAACTCGTGATGCGTGCGAACATATCGAAGAAAAATCTCCTGAGTGCCGAAATAGCAAATGTTTGACTTCGGATTGTGGATTGAAGTGGATTTTGACTTGAAAAACAGGGTTGCCAAACGTAACTCTCAAAAGATCACGCGTGATCGCCGAGAAACCGCCAATCGCCTCTCGCCAACCGCCAACCGCCAACCGCCTCTTGGTGTGTCTGAACGGGGTCGCTCGCGAACCCTGTTCCGACACACACTGGAAGCGGATCCGAAACTGCTTTGCGAACGCGGATCCGCTTCCAGTGTGAATGAGTCATTAGTGTGTAGGTCTGCCAAGCAACACAATGAAAAGTGTAGTGTTATAGATACCGAAACATTCTATGATCACTGGCAGCCTGAGAAAGGCAGTGCGAGGCGTGCCCATCTTATCATCGTTTCGCAGTCAATGATATGCCAGCCAATAAAAGCACCAAAGAACGAAGCGAGAACATGGTAAGCCTTGGTTTCTGAAGTTGTGAGTAATGTTGCACTAAAGGCAGTCCCATATTATAGTATTTCAAATGTTTCTACTTAGTAATATATGTTTATTTTTAGAATCGTAAAAAGGGCTCCCGATGTGTCAGCAGTGATCATAGTTTTCTACATATTTGTTTCGGTAGCTTTTCTCGCATTTTAAGATGTTTTCGAATTTCTTGTTGTTCGTTTTGTTAATTTGCATACAAAACATTCTTGGCATTCCTTTTTTTGCGCATGAAGTGTTAACCGGCAAGTGAATGAATTACGCTACAATTGATACAAAAGCGAACTTCCGAAAAGGAGTATAACTGACACATGGGCAGTCTTGTACACGTTACTAAAAAAAAGCAATCGATTACAATTACTATTACTCTTGGCTAAAAAGTATTCGATTAGATTACTTGATTACTCGACGGAAAAAGTAATTGGACATTACTTAAAGAAGTAATCATTACTTTTCGGATTACTTTATTGTGTGAAGACACATCTTTAGCGCTCATAACAATGAACTACTTCCAACCTATATTTCACATTTCCACAAGTATTGAAGAAGAAAAACTGGCTCCCCCTTCGTGGTCGTTGCACCTTCACAATGCGGACACAGGCATAGACTTCGTTTGAAGACGTTTAATTATTGGGGCGTTCGCCAGTATGTGTGTGTGTGTGGGGGGGAGGGGGGGGGGGGAGCGGAGGGGGTTCTAGATCTTGTTAAGCTTGAGCAAGGGTTGTCGCTCAAAGTTTGCGTCGCTCAATTCACATGTGGATGAGCTCGCATGTTATACAAAAGAGCAGCAGCTCCAGGATTTGAAACGGATCATGTGTAGTATCCATTAGCGGAAGGCATCGCCCCGACCACTTCTAAACTCGAAACATTGGTTGTCACAAAGACCACGTAGGGGAAATGGGGAATTATTTCAACTGCCTTTGTTATATTTTGCATCCGCTTTAGGCATTCTTCGGTTCTAGTTCTCCTACGGGCTGCGAGTAAGTACCCTAAGGAGGATTTGTTTTTCTGTGTGTGTGTGCGTGAGGGGGCTAGTTTGAACGGAGGACTCACAAAGCTACATTCTGCTTCCTCAAACTTCGCCCTGAATGGCCTTTGTCACTGTGGCTTCCCTGGAGCTTACCACTCCCCCAGTCCCAGCTCGAAAAAAAGAAAAACGGACACTCCACAGAAACTGTACATAGAAAGAGATTGACCTCGTTTTCTACAGCTCCGCAAAAATCTTTCTTTTTTCCCTTCGAAAAGAAAAAGCAAATTTCATTTTGCCATTTCATAGAAAAAAGGCGTGTGGCCGGGGGGGGGTGGGGGGGGGGGGGGGGGGTCCCGAGGACAAATAGTAACGGTTAGGAGTAATTTTTATTACTTCAAAAAGTA